TAGTAGTAGTAGTAGTAGTAGTAGTAGTAGTAGTAGTAGTAGTAGTAGTAGTAGTAGTAGTAGTAGTAGTAGTAGTAGTAGTAGTAGTAGTAGTAGTAGTAGTAGTAGTAGTAGTAGTAGTAGTAGTAGTAGTAGTAGTAGTAGTAGTAGTAGTAGTAGTAGTAGTAGTAGTAGTAGTAGTAGTAGTAGTAGTAGTAGTAGTAGTAGTAGTAGTAGTAGTAGTAGTAGTAGTAGTAGTAGTAGTAGTAGTAGTAGTAGTAGTAGTAGTAGTAGTAGTAGTAGTAGTAGTAGTAGTAGTAGTAGTAGTAGTAGTAGTAGTAGTAGTAGTAGTAGTAGTAGTAGTAGTAGTAGTAGTAGTAGTAGTAGTAGTAGTAGTAGTAGTAGTAGTAGTAGTAGTAGTAGTAGTAGTAGTAGTAGTAGTAGTAGTAGTAGTAGTAGTAGTAGTAGTAGTAGTAGTAGTAGTAGTAGTAGTAGTAGTAGTAGTAGTAGTAGTAGTAGTAGTAGTAGTAGTAGTAGTAGTAGTAGTAGTAGTAGTAGTAGTAGTAGTAGTAGTAGTAGTAGTAGTAGTAGTAGTAGTAGTAGTAGTAGTAGTAGTAGTAGTAGTAGTAGTAGTAGTAGTAGTAGTAGTAGTAGTAGTAGTAGTAGTAGTAGTAGTAGTAGTAGTAGTAGTAGTAGTAGTAGTAGTAGTAGTAGTAGTAGTAGTAGTAGTAGTAGTAGTAGTAGTAGTAGTAGTAGTAGTAGTAGTAGTAGTAGTAGTAGTAGTAGTAGTAGTAGTAGTAGTAGTAGTAGTAGTAGTAGTAGTAGTAGTAGTAGTAGTAGTAGTAGTAGTAGTAGTAGTAGTAGTAGTAGTAGTAGTAGTAGTAGTAGTAGTAGTAGTAGTAGTAGTAGTAGTAGTAGTAGTAGTAGTAGTAGTAGTAGTAGTAGTAGTAGTAGTAGTAGTAGTAGTAGTAGTAGTAGTAGTAGTAGTAGTAGTAGTAGTAGTAGTAGTAGTAGTAGTAGTAGTAGTAGTAGTAGTAGTAGTAGTAGTAGTAGTAGTAGTAGTAGTAGTAGTAGTAGTAGTAGTAGTAGTAGTAGTAGTAGTAGTAGTAGTAGTAGTAGTAGTAGTAGTAGTAGTAGTAGTAGTAGTAGTAGTAGTAGTAGTAGTAGTAGTAGTAGTAGTAGTAGTAGTAGTAGTAGTAGTAGTAGTAGTAGTAGTAGTAGTAGTAGTAGTAGTAGTAGTAGTAGTAGTAGTAGTAGTAGTAGTAGTAGTAGTAGTAGTAGTAGTAGTAGTAGTAGTAGTAGTAGTAGTAGTAGTAGTAGTAGTAGTAGTAGTAGTAGTAGTAGTAGTAGTAGTAGTAGTAGTAGTAGTAGTAGTAGTAGTAGTAGTAGTAGTAGTAGTAGTAGTAGTAGTAGTAGTAGTAGTAGTAGTAGTAGTAGTAGTAGTAGTAGTAGTAGTAGTAGTAGTAGTAGTAGTAGTAGTAGTAGTAGTAGTAGTAGTAGTAGTAGTAGTAGTAGTAGTAGTAGTAGTAGTAGTAGTAGTAGTAGTAGTAGTAGTAGTAGTAGTAGTAGTAGTAGTAGTAGTAGTAGTAGTAGTAGTAGTAGTAGTAGTAGTAGTAGTAGTAGTAGTAGTAGTAGTAGTAGTAGTAGTAGTAGTAGTAGTAGTAGTAGTAGTAGTAGTAGTAGTAGTAGTAGTAGTAGTAGTAGTAGTAGTAGTAGTAGTAGTAGTAGTAGTAGTAGTAGTAGTAGTAGTAGTAGTAGTAGTAGTAGTAGTAGTAGTAGTAGTAGTAGTAGTAGTAGTAGTAGTAGTAGTAGTAGTAGTAGTAGTAGTAGTAGTAGTAGTAGTAGTAGTAGTAGTAGTAGTAGTAGTAGTAGTAGTAGTAGTAGTAGTAGTAGTAGTAGTAGTAGTAGTAGTAGTAGTAGTAGTAGTAGTAGTAGTAGTAGTAGTAGTAGTAGTAGTAGTAGTAGTAGTAGTAGTAGTAGTAGTAGTAGTAGTAGTAGTAGTAGTAGTAGTAGTAGTAGTAGTAGTAGTAGTAGTAGTAGTAGTAGTAGTAGTAGTAGTAGTAGTAGTAGTAGTAGTAGTAGTAGTAGTAGTAGTAGTAGTAGTAGTAGTAGTAGTAGTAGTAGTAGTAGTAGTAGTAGTAGTAGTAGTAGTAGTAGTAGTAGTAGTAGTAGTAGTAGTAGTAGTAGTAGTAGTAGTAGTAGTAGTAGTAGTAGTAGTAGTAGTAGTAGTAGTAGTAGTAGTAGTAGTAGTAGTAGTAGTAGTAGTAGTAGTAGTAGTAGTAGTAGTAGTAGTAGTAGTAGTAGTAGTAGTAGTAGTAGTAGTAGTAGTAGTAGTAGTAGTAGTAGTAGTAGTAGTAGTAGTAGTAGTAGTAGTAGTAGTAGTAGTAGTAGTAGTAGTAGTAGTAGTAGTAGTAGTAGTAGTAGTAGTAGTAGTAGTAGTAGTAGTAGTAGTAGTAGTAGTAGTAGTAGTAGTAGTAGTAGTAGTAGTAGTAGTAGTAGTAGTAGTAGTAGTAGTAGTAGTAGTAGTAGTAGTAGTAGTAGTAGTAGTAGTAGTAGTAGTAGTAGTAGTAGTAGTAGTAGTAGTAGTAGTAGTAGTAGTAGTAGTAGTAGTAGTAGTAGTAGTAGTAGTAGTAGTAGTAGTAGTAGTAGTAGTAGTAGTAGTAGTAGTAGTAGTAGTAGTAGTAGTAGTAGTAGTAGTAGTAGTAGTAGTAGTAGTAGTAGTAGTAGTAGTAGTAGTAGTAGTAGTAGTAGTAGTAGTAGTAGTAGTAGTAGTAGTAGTAGTAGTAGTAGTAGTAGTAGTAGTAGTAGTAGTAGTAGTAGTAGTAGTAGTAGTAGTAGTAGTAGTAGTAGTAGTAGTAGTAGTAGTAGTAGTAGTAGTAGTAGTAGTAGTAGTAGTAGTAGTAGTAGTAGTAGTAGTAGTAGTAGTAGTAGTAGTAGTAGTAGTAGTAGTAGTAGTAGTAGTAGTAGTAGTAGTAGTAGTAGTAGTAGTAGTAGTAGTAGTAGTAGTAGTAGTAGTAGTAGTAGTAGTAGTAGTAGTAGTAGTAGTAGTAGTAGTAGTAGTAGTAGTAGTAGTAGTAGTAGTAGTAGTAGTAGTAGTAGTAGTAGTAGTAGTAGTAGTAGTAGTAGTAGTAGTAGTAGTAGTAGTAGTAGTAGTAGTAGTAGTAGTAGTAGTAGTAGTAGTAGTAGTAGTAGTAGTAGTAGTAGTAGTAGTAGTAGTAGTAGTAGTAGTAGTAGTAGTAGTAGTAGTAGTAGTAGTAGTAGTAGTAGTAGTAGTAGTAGTAGTAGTAGTAGTAGTAGTAGTAGTAGTAGTAGTAGTAGTAGTAGTAGTAGTAGTAGTAGTAGTAGTAGTAGTAGTAGTAGTAGTAGTAGTAGTAGTAGTAGTAGTAGTAGTAGTAGTAGTAGTAGTAGTAGTAGTAGTAGTAGTAGTAGTAGTAGTAGTAGTAGTAGTAGTAGTAGTAGTAGTAGTAGTAGTAGTAGTAGTAGTAGTAGTAGTAGTAGTAGTAGTAGTAGTAGTAGTAGTAGTAGTAGTAGTAGTAGTAGTAGTAGTAGTAGTAGTAGTAGTAGTAGTAGTAGTAGTAGTAGTAGTAGTAGTAGTAGTAGTAGTAGTAGTAGTAGTAGTAGTAGTAGTAGTAGTAGTAGTAGTAGTAGTAGTAGTAGTAGTAGTAGTAGTAGTAGTAGTAGTAGTAGTAGTAGTAGTAGTAGTAGTAGTAGTAGTAGTAGTAGTAGTAGTAGTAGTAGTAGTAGTAGTAGTAGTAGTAGTAGTAGTAGTAGTAGTAGTAGTAGTAGTAGTAGTAGTAGTAGTAGTAGTAGTAGTAGTAGTAGTAGTAGTAGTAGTAGTAGTAGTAGTAGTAGTAGTAGTAGTAGTAGTAGTAGTAGTAGTAGTAGTAGTAGTAGTAGTAGTAGTAGTAGTAGTAGTAGTAGTAGTAGTAGTAGTAGTAGTAGTAGTAGTAGTAGTAGTAGTAGTAGTAGTAGTAGTAGTAGTAGTAGTAGTAGTAGTAGTAGTAGTAGTAGTAGTAGTAGTAGTAGTAGTAGTAGTAGTAGTAGTAGTAGTAGTAGTAGTAGTAGTAGTAGTAGTAGTAGTAGTAGTAGTAGTAGTAGTAGTAGTAGTAGTAGTAGTAGTAGTAGTAGTAGTAGTAGTAGTAGTAGTAGTAGTAGTAGTAGTAGTAGTAGTAGTAGTAGTAGTAGTAGTAGTAGTAGCAGTAGTTGATCATAACATCCCTATTGATAAGACTTCTTACTTGAGATTCGTAACTGACAATAAGTAAGAGATTGTATCAAGAACTTTCGAAAGATCAAAGATAAAGTTAAGGGACTTTCATCCCCTGAGCTATCAATGAGAATTGGCCCATTTTTTAGGTATTTATTTAGACCCTTTCCTATTCTTACTGTATGTCAATGGAATACCTGTAGAAATCAAGTCATCTAGTCTTATGTTTGTAGATGTTAGGCTCTGAAGAAACATATGTGGCAACAGTGAGAGGTTAGCTTTGCAACAAAATTTAAACACTCTAGTGTAATGATTATTGATGATTTGCACAAATATGAGCGTAGTTATGAACAGTACCCATAGCAATAGGCATGACTACTTGACTAATGGATTCCCACTGCTCAAGGTTTTCTGAGTGCACGAATTTAGGAGTAATAGCCCACCTTAAAACTGCAAAAAACAGTATCATAGTCCCTTCAGAAAGCATACGAAAGCTGTGATGAAGATGTTTTCCGGGCATTATACCTAACATATATTTGACCTCATTTAGAATGTAGGATCTGAATAGTGAGCCCCTTGTTTCAAATGCGAAGTACATATGTTAGAATCGGGATGTATCTACAGAGACACCTTAAGTACATGATGCATAAGTTAATTACTGTTCATCTTGAAGCGATACAGGAACAGCTAAATAGAAGAACGTCAAGTGTTGAGACAATGACATGACGTTAATGCATGAAGTCTTTGAACATTGGTCTGAACTATCAGTGTAGAAGTAGGTCTTTCTGGGTTGAGACACTGTGGACAATCAAAATCGATGTTAAGAAACAACGACTAGAAACTGATCTCTAAGCTATGTTTCTTCTCTTTTTATCTCTCTAAATCTTGAACAATTTCATCAATTTACGTGTGTTATTCCTTACCTTAACTTATCTCTTTCGTTCCTTCCTCTTAACTTTGCACTGAAATTGGTCACTTTTTCTTTACTTATTCGAGTTTACTATTGCTGAGTTCTCATCGCTGTGATTCGATGAAGTGTAGTACCTAAGACGCCGTATACAACCGTTCACGTTGTTTCCGTCTATCTGTTGTAAATATCTAGCGAACGTTCTTCAAACACGAATAAATATATTGTTACGTCTGACTAAAAATTGCGATCTCAAGTAATTTATAATGGTTGAATAAGGTGCGCACATAGAGCAACAACAGCTGACTGGTGACACTACAGTTTGAACTTTAAAATCTTCGATACTATTTGATAACCAGGAAAGTTTGGGATCTGATAGCAACATAAAAACGGAGCATACTTTGGAACAGACCAAAGAAGTTTACATAACTGAAGGATTCTTGACGTTAAAGAGTAAAATGTGAACTTGAATCTCCAGTGAATCGATATAAATAGCTGACGTTTGTCTCACCAAGATGCATAAGAAGTACAATAAAATAGATATAATGAAGTTCAGATTGCGATTAGGTTACAAACCATACTTAATGTGAGGGCTTTTGATACTACCCAGTTAACCAGTAGAGATAGATGTATGGTCCAAAGACCCATATATTTAAGAGTTCAACGTTCAAGCCAATGAGTTACATCTCTGTTGAAAAGCACCGTAATGTATCAACAAAGCTTTCCTCTTCATTCACTGAAATGATATTATAACGCTGGATAGACTAAAATACAGCACTTTTATGAAGTCTTCATTCGTATAATAATTCATATTTTTTGAAAGAATAAGTGATCACTTGCTTACATGCTCTGCAGTTCCGCGCCCATAAAAGAAACAATATTCGTCAACCATTGAGCCTAATGTCAACAGTTCACTTTGGGAATTAGTTGGAAGTAGGAAATACTGTAGTAACTAGTAAAGTATTTGCTACCTTCAGATGACAAGACACTGTTTAACTAATATAACAAGTCCTCGAAGTGGCTCAACGTGACTATTTATTGGGAAGTGATCACAAAGAAAGCAACTTACGCAAGTAATAAATTGGCGCCAACGCCTCTATTGCATACACCGGCTTCTTCATATGGACGATCGCCACAGGTACCAAAACATAGTCCGAAATACAACAGCAGGAAAATCAATATGGGCATGCAGAGAAGAGCTATTCCACCATATAACAGATACTCGACAACCCTATGTGTTTTCAGTTTATAAAATAGTGAAATAAAATTATCACTTAAAAAGTGATCAACGTGGAGATAGCATAGATAAGTAATAAATACAACTTGAGGCGATCAGGTGCACGTGTTCAGGTGCTAGGCTATGAACCATGCCTGTTTTGTGAGAGCTTTTAACACTACCCAGAATATCAGACCAAAGTGGGTTGGACAGAACTTGAACATAAAAACTATATCCTAAAAGTCAAGTGCTTAAGCCAATTAACCACAAGTTCTCAACAGTAGGGATAAGTAAAAAACTTCGGCTAATTGAAGTTGTGAATCTGAACCATACGAGGTGGTCTGGAAATATGTTGCGCATACAAACCTAATGTCCACATTAATGTGCAACATTAGCTAAAATAGGACTGCATTAAATATTGGTAAAAGTGATCAGGCCAAGACCTTGTACTGAATCATGAAGGAGCTGAATGCTGGTATCAGCTGTATGAGGTTGGGTCACACAAAAGGGATCCTTGATATATTAGAAATCAACTGTTGTAGGTTCCGTCACAATGTACATTTTCTTTATTATCAAAATTCTGAGTCTTTTATCAATATTTACTCTTTCCCTCTTTTTATTATATTCAATTTATTATCATTTTATTCTTGTCCATTTCCTCTTTCTGCGCTGTTTGTTGTCAAAAGAAGCGACCGGAACCGATATACTCTCGTGCAAATCATTATGCCTACTTACCTGTTCAGCACATAGAGAAACATGAGTGAAAAAAACCTTTCTGGCAGCTAGTTGAGGAAATATTTAACAAATTTGATTTACTGGGCAAATAATGTAGAAACACTAGCATTCCTAATGTGTATGAAAATTCAAAATTTGTATTGCTAAAGTGTTAACACTGGCACCAAGATAAATCTCACATAAGCGCAACACACCATTGTAGTTTCAAACAGAATAATCTTTATTATTAATTAAATATGCATGTTCTATTTCCAATGACTGAATAATCGGGTTTTTTACGCCTAAATCATTCGATTGAAATTTTAATGAGAGGATAGTGTAAGTTATTGATTTTGTTTTGGCAGACACTAGGTATTACTTGAAACATAAGACTTTGTACCACCGTTTATGTATATACTAACTCGGTAACCACGCTTTGGTTCGTGCACTAAACAGTAAGGCATATTTAGTAGTGGTGGTAGTGGTAGTCTAAATGCCGGTGGATCGTGCAGGCTTCCAACCTGCAAGGTGAATTAGCCTAAATGGAACACCAAGAAATAAGTTAAACAAAAATTAGACGAAAATGATGCCAAAGCATGATATAAAGATGATAATAATAATATAAAAAACAAGGATGAACCTGATAGGAATGATTATTTTCCATCTTAGGTTTACCCTATAATGCAGATACACGACAACAAAAAACTACAGCATGATTAGTTGACCAATCTTAAAACTAGAAATAACATGACCGCAGCGAGTGCAAAAGTGAAACTAGGATACTTTTCGTCGTCACAAGAAGGGTGAACATGAATTCTTGTTCCCTAATCTGGCGATTTTATGCTTAAATTTTCTATTGGTACCACTGGAAAAATTGCTTCTATCTCAGTGCTGCAACACTGCATTCCAACTAAAGAAAACACGTTCCAAGGAATTTATACAAATTATTTGTCGAATTCCCCAACTTACCTAAGGCCACGGAGATGATGCACTTTTGGGCAACGATGGTCATGTAAGTGATATCGTGATAAGTATAACAGAGAATAACTGAATCGCCCTGTTAACAATGACACTTGGGATGTGCACACCTCAATTTAGCTGTTCTTCAAAAGCACAGAAGGCTATGTAAAAAGGCGACATTATCGCTGAACGTTCGTGAAAATTCAGAAGCTGAAGAGACAGTGTACAGAATTACTAACTTTATAGACATTCAACATATTTCGATAAAATTATCTGTCGCATGAAATGAAATTTATTTAAACTACGGTTAAGGATTGGAGCAAGAAAATATCACGCGTATACAAAGGACATCATAATGAGGGCAGTAAAATTAACTAGTGTTACACAGTTGGGTAAAATCTATACTAACCGTAAATAATGATTATTTATCTCTTCATTTCGATCCATTGACAGACTATCACGAACCAACTGTAATGTTGTACTTACATTACTAAGGATGCCTTCAAACACGCTAGCCAACTTTTCTCGAGTTTCAGGGGATTGAGCTAAATCATTCCAGGCACCTAAACACATAAGAAGGTCAAAAAATCAGAGAGGTATACTAAGTAAGAAAATATCACCATATATCAAGTATTTTTAGCAAACCTAATAACAGAATAAAATATATGCAGTAGAAATGAAAAGGACACTTGTCATAATGCACGTATGGACACTGAAGTTGATTGGAAATGCAGTGTCAGATGTATACAGAACATTGTTTGAATACCGTCGACTAATCTTTCTTGGTGTTATCTATTCATCAGTGAATAGAGAGCCATCACATTTTGCAGGTTAATCAAGAAAGATATACTAGTTACTTTATCCATTATTCCGGCTGGATGCCGTAGATCACTAGAAGTTATACATAGCAGCACCCTTGTAACATTTTAATCTATCCCACTAGATTGAAAAAAAAGTTTATCATAATGCCTAAGGATGTTGAGAAGTGATTCCTTCGGCACGATATGTAGGTTGCTAACTGTCGAATATTAAGAACGCTTCAACAAGCCACAACATACAAGAAAATGAAATTGAAGAGAGAAAGTGATCGAAAAATGCGACAGTTTACATACAGAATGCAGTGGAGAATATAATCCCTCGATAAATGGTTCTCCATGTTTGCAAAAACATATGTGACTCTGCATACACACTAACATACATTGAAAGGAAAGCTGTTATTCCACCTACGTAAAGGATATAAAATAAGCAAGTGACTAACTTTTCTTCATGAAAAACAGTTTTATCAATCTCTCTGATTTGAAATTACAAAAGACTGAAGTTGAGATGCAGTATCCAAACAGATTCGTCTATGTGATTGCTACCTTAATCTGCAGAGCGCTACTAAAGTTATATAACTCACGTAAACAGCTAAGCAGTTAAAAATACCTACGATGATAGACAACGTGAAAGAATGATAGACGAAATCGAAGTAGAACCTCGCACGGAAGTCCAACAGTTCAATTTGTCACACTTCACAGTAGTACGCAAAGAAAAAGTGGACAGAAAAAAAGATATCAAGGCAGACGAAGGTGTACCAGAGAACAAACAATCTGAAGATAAATACTCGTGCAAATTACTAAGCTGCAGAAAACGTCTAGCAGTGAAAACAACTGCACCATTATAACGGATTATCAACCATGTCACCAACAGTCCTGAACCCCCGATTACCATAGTCTCGGATAACCCAGCCAGGTAGTCTACATTTGCCTATAAGCCTCACACTAACAGTCAGGACTTTATCGACTGATAAGATATCTTGGTCTGGGGACTCTGAACAATCTTCCAATCTAGTCCAACTTCATCTAGGATGGCACGTCGATGGCTCGACACGGGTAACACATGTCCAAAACATCTCAGACGATAACTTCCCTTTATTGCCTAGTACCCTTCGCCTCAACTCAACATTGCTCATATGATGATTCCTCCAAACACGAGGAATGCTGCGAAGACAAACATGACCAAAACATTCGTCTTCTACTGTCAACGGTCATGTCTCGTCTCACAGACGTATGGCAGGACAGAACGAACTGCAGCGCAGTATACTCGTCCTTCGACAGATAGTCTGATATATCACCGGCCGGTGCCCCAGATAATACAAGTTGGAAAATACCGAACGGGACTTCTGTATCCAAGTTGAAATTGTCACCCCGTTCGGGCTGATGCAGCTCCTCAAGTAAGTGAAGTGGTCGACACATTCAACCACACCACTTTCTTTCAATAAACAGTTAGTAGTTGCAGACCAGTCCTCGAGTATCATTTCACATCCAACAGGTGCAAAACACATGCCAAACATACTCAGATTTCTCCTGAAGGTGTCGGGAAGACCCTTCATCTTGCTAACGTCTCCAACTAGAAGGACAATGTCATCTGTACACTCCATGTCAGCCAGATGAACTGCTGAAAGTAGACCGATTCCTGTGAAGTGAGACGTACCTAACGTCATGTCTATTAGTACGTCTATAACGAAGTTAGATAGAAACGGTGACCGTGGGCATCCCATGTCAGACACTCATAGTTATTGTCAATTCACATAGGAATTTTCCATAAGCCCTGACACGACTCTGCGAGTTCCAGTAGAGAGCTTTGATAAGCATTATATACTTGTTCAGTACTCCATTCACAGTCAGACACTGCCACAACACCTCACGGTCGACAGAGTCAAATGCTGCCTTCAGGTCAGGCTATTAGCCAGTAAGCATGTCTGTGTTCCAGAACCTGAGGGAGGGTGAAAAACTGATCGATGCACCCAAGTCTAGGTTTGAAACCTACCTACCTAGTTTTATCGAGTTTACTGTTGTCGAGCTTCAGTTAAGTGTCAGATAACCATGGATCCTAGGATCTTGGATACAGTATTAGTCAAAATAGTTCGCCTATGATTGTCACAGGAAGATTTCTCACCCGTCTTATAGGTTGGAATGATGAGTGAGGTGGACCAGTCTGACAGCACTACCTTAGATTCCCATACACTACCTACTACCCCCTACACTGTAATCAGCAATTCCCTACTTCCATCCTAGAAAACTTTGGGTGGCAAACTATTAGGTGCTGCCGCTTCACACCGTTTCAGGCCCAACACAGTCTTCTCCACTTCAAGGAGAGTTGAAGGACGGGCACCTATGTCGCATTCAGGTTCATGCTGGATATTGAGCAACTGGAGCATTGTTGTGGACCAGGAACTGTGCTTCGAAGTGTTCTAATCAATCTTCTGACTACTTGTCCTTGGAGGTTATCAGTATCCCATCCTTCTCCGTGATGGTCTCACTAACCATCACTCAATTCTTGTTGGTATCTTTAATGAGCCTAGATTTCCGATTGTCAATGTGAAAATAAAAGTGGAAAACCTCTGATCCCAATCAATCCACGTACATCGGTTCAGCTCCAAATGAGTGAGACAGTCGTCGAGTGAGCAAACCAACTTGGTTTGTATAGAGAAGACTTCTGATGTGCAAGTGGTTTGCACCTTCAATAATATATACCGATACTAGAAAACCCTCTGCAATAAGCTTCTCATCGCATGAAAACATGAAAGTAGACATTGATGTAAGGGTTATATCCTCCACACTACTTTGAAACCTAAGATCGACTAAGTTACCAAGCTGTTATGTACCTACTCACTAATCTTCTTTATAAAAAGCCAGCAGATATCGTTCACCAACGTAGTTCTCGAAAATATTCAAAACCACTAAGATATTCAACGAAAAAGTAGACGATATCAGACAAATGTTTTGACGTATGCAAGACTTTCTCAGTGGTGATAACTACCTATGACTAACTCTGACTGTTATTCAATTAATAACGAGTTGTAATAAAAATCACTTCAAAATCTGACCCATCACAGTACTGACGTAAAAAGTGGTTATCAATGGTTGCGAGGGTCAAAAAAAGTTGTTTGATGCTATATTCAAAGTAAATAGGTACACACCAGGTCCAACTCACGTTCATATTAAGACCTTAAACGAAAAAAGCAGCAAAACCTGAAGCTTTATTACCACAGATGTTTAAGAGTGGATGCATAAATTATGGAAATCAGAGGTATGCCAATAAAGTGATCCAGAGCATCGATCATTCCAATTTGTAAGAAAGGAGAGAAGTTTTCGTCCGTTGATCACGGGGAAATCAGTCCGACTGACATTACGTCTAAGATTTTAAGGTCTATAGACATTCAACACAGAACTGAAGCTGAATGATGATAAATTCAAGAAAACTAGGAAGTTTTAAGACCTGAACCGGCGTGCATCGATCAAGTCTTCACCAAAATGAGTTGTTTATTTGGCATTCACTCACCAAATGATGCCATCTTTAGCATCGGCAAGATATGCAATTTCTGTGCATCAGTCCGCTCGGTCTGACTGTCGGGCTGTCACACATGGCAATTGAAAGCAGATGTGAAGAGACTACAGGTTTTCGATCATAGTTATCATCGCGACATTGCTCACGAATTTTCGAATCACCATGTGAGCGATGTTAAAGTTAGGCGTAGGATAATAGGTAAGGAAGACGGGGTTGAAGGTGTGAACGTCTACCAACCAAATGAAGTGTTGCGCAGCTGAGTAACCACTTACAAGTTTTGCCAAAGTATGATTGGATTAGAAGAGGGTTAAGAGTGTCCAGACCAAGACATGTCATCAGTCCATGAAGCCTTTGACTGTTCGTTTGAGCCATGCAAGAATATGTGGGTTGTCTGATGACAGTCATCGAAATGGTAGGAACTATTAGTAAGGGGCTGGGAAATAACTTAAAATTGACCACAATAGCGCAGATATATGTACCGTTAATCATCTTTGAAATCTGGAACCTTTTCACTGATCCCCATTTATTTATTCCCTTGCTCCCACATACGTTTATTTTATTCTCGTTTTTTCATTGTCAATTCCCACCTTGTAAGCCAATGTGAATGTGGCAACTTGGACAGATGCACTTGTCCTGGGCTCTATCTTAATCTGTCTATCGAATTGTTCAGTAAACACAATGCCACTTTTACGCATAATGATTGTCGTATCACGTGATATGATTGGTAAGGCAGTTAGTTAGTCAGTGAAATCCAGTTCAATGGTTGGTAAACAGACAACCTAGCAGTGAAGCCAAAACATCGTATATTCCATAGCTTGATAGGTGGTGAGTGTACACGCTACTGAGTTCATAATAAAGGTGAAGTAGTGTCCTTGCACAGCTTTATTTAAAACCGACTATTCAGAAAATATTTTTTTAAAATCTTGATTAAATTTACTACAAATACCCTGACCACTAAGCTGAAACATATAATGAAACTTAACACTCAGGTTATTGGATCCTCGTATATGCAAATTAAAACGAATGCATGGAAATCGGTAAGGATGTAAGAAACACTGAAGCTTAGTTCTTAGTACAGATACACAGAGAATGCATCTTTCGATAAATTATTCTACTGTCAAACAAATGAGAAATATTCAAGTAAGGAAACGAAGTGAAGCTGCTAACAGTAGGAGAAATTAGAGGACTCTGAAGTAAACGACAACAATCAATGAGTGACGTTCGTTATAATCCAATAATTTAAGTGGCAGCACCTCTCCCAAAGGTGCTGAACAATGCAAATACAAGTTTTCGCAGCAATGGGGTTTTTTTGGCACCAAAGATACGTGGTGATAGCGAACGCTTACATCAACTTCACACATATAACTATATAATCTTAAAAACACCCCTTATTACAAAGCTAGTCACTGACTTGTTGCAGGTATCCTGTGGAGAATCCTTCCTCAAAATAGAAAAAATAATTGACTGATTCGACTGATCAGTGTGAAATCGTATATACAAAGCGAAGTGAATAACTCACGGTTTAGGTCATCATTAATGGAACGTTTCACAATAACAGCCAGGCTATTGATCGTTTCATTGAACTAGAAAGAATGGGCAAAGAGAGACTGCTGAAAGTCTATCAACTGATTAGAGAAACAAGGTCATATCATGATTCCAAGCTCAAAATAAATATTTCCGATACCATATAAAAATCGTATAACATGACTCAACATGACTGTGAGAAAATAGTTTCGAAAAATACAGTGAATAAAGCATAATTTCGACCTCTAATAAGATCTAGCAAACCTCCTCAAATTCAATAAAAATCTAAACGATTAGCATATCATTCAACTAGCTGCTGCATCAAGCATAACTAAAGTGGAGCTGAAGGTTGGGTAATTTGCTTCTCGAAGGGTTCCGTTCAACTTTGGAAACCACGTTGTGTGATTGTATCTACATCCCCTCTACTTTGACCAAGATTCTCTTTCTATTTCCATTCAATAAATCAATCTCTTTAGTAAGTCGTGGAAGCTACCGTAGTCTATAAAATGCCAATGCCTATTTTTTTACCTCTTTTGCTATCGGCAACACACCAATGACCACGTCTATTGGGAGAAAAGTTAATCAATCTAATTTTAGGTTGCCTTCAACATGTAGCTAGCTGGAAGTCAGTTAGAATAATAAGTCTTCATGCAACAGTAAGTTCAGAAGAAACAAAAGAACTGAATATTACTGACTTTTGGTTGCAGTTGACTGCCTTCAGTGGTATGCATACAGAATGAACACTGAGAAGTTACATCAGTATGAAAATGAGTCTTGTTTTTATAAGTGTTCCTCTTTACTTACAGGGGTGACAGTTCTGTCTTCGAATATAGTTGACAAACTTCCTAGCTGAGAGCTTCTTAGGTTTACCCAGGTGTAGATATAAGCGTGTTCAAACCAATGCGATATAATTACGTGATTCAAAAATGGTGATAAAGTCCCATAAATGGCCAGTGCTGGCAAAACTCATTCATCTCCATCGCTTGGTTGGTGCTCGCGATCTACAAGCCAGGCAATATCTCTCTTCATACTAGTGCTGATGACGAACAAATTACAGGCCACAGAGAGATTATAGGAGGGGATTATCACCATCGGTTCACCGTTATGGGATTCCGAAGACAACTGAAATACCTTTTTGCTTAGCTGAACCTTATAGTTTGCCTGTAAAACGTATACGGTAAGTTTGATGTTTTACAATTAAACTGACAAGGTCCTTAAGAATTTTCAAAACTAATCAGCTGAACAGCATATGAGTAACTACCACATAAAATCCACTCAGGAAGTGAACTTTAGTGTGACTTAATATCATACCCACACTTGAAAAGTTAGCGGAAACAGTCGCTGAAAATGACTGTAGAGAATACCTTCTATATACTATTTATACCATGAATCAACTAAATTACAGAGAAACATGAGGTAGTTATCAAGGAAAGTTGTAGCTTCTCAAGAGATCAGAGTCATTTCATCAGCAAACACAGAAATTTAATAACCTGATATCAGCAAAATTTATAAAGGAATATAAAGAGAATAATTACTCATGCTTACTTCATCAAGTGAATCAACATCGTGAAGATGGCGTTGAAGTTGATTCGATAAAGAAACCACTTCATCCGGCTGGAACTGTAACAGAAATATTTCAACCAATGTTATTTTTACTGATGCATAGAGTATGAATAAACGAACGTAATAATACTGGAAATAACAAGTTAGGAATTTTATAAAGCCTGAAATAATAGGTTAAAGGATATCCTAAAGAAGTCACGGTTGCTGTTAGTGTATCCACTAAAAAACAACACTGTGAACAAATCCATACGTCTATAAAATTATTAGAAGTGCACTGCACAAATCAGATTTGTCACCTATAAACTTACGGTCATTTCGTTTCACCAACAAGTCAGTAATTCGCTATACTTTATAGGCTAAACGAAAGCCATCTCTCGAGAGGAGAATTTGTATACGTGTACACTAATACGTTAACTGCAATGTTATATGCTTTTAAAATAACGTAGCTCTTGGAGTCAAATGGTATTTGTATTAACATACCAATCTCATAATAAAGTCAGAAAAACACTCCAGTAATGGAAACTATAAAACAGACAAAGAAATAACCAATACAAGTATGTTTTGTACCTTTTTTGAACTACTCATCACTGTACATTTCAGCTACTTGCAAACTGAAGTGAAACTCAACTCGAAAGGTATTTTCGTGTACTAGGCTACAAGTTACGCCTAATGTACAAGGGCTTGCGGTAATAACCAACTGGCCAAACCAAAATAAATACAGTTGGATTTAAACTTCAAGCCCATAGGCTGAAAGTCAGGCAGCCAAGCTAAAGAGCCCCTTAGGTCTACCACTAAGACTTTCGTGTAACGCTGGATTTGTATTGCTTGGCTAAGGACATTCGACTCTCAGCCAGAGTATTCACTTCAAACCCAACTCAGCTCAAGGAGCTTTGGGAAACTAGATAACATCACTGGTGCTGATATCATGTGTACCGTGTAACCTATTACAAAAAACGGTAAGTGGCTGCTAAGCCATATTGCTGAACGTAGTTAACATTATCCTCTGAACATATAAACCTATTGCCTCGTGAAATGAACTTACTCAATCTCATGAGATGATTGAAAAGTATAACAGTCATGAGAATGATTTTTTAAAGTGGGGAATATCGTAAACCTATGGTATTTACACTCAATGTATAGAAAATAATTAGAAAGATACACAAAAGTAATTCACTTTTTATAGGTATCTTGATAATATAGAAGACCAAAACACCTATCCCCAGTGAGTCTGCATAAGCGTTTGCTACCACATGCATTCTCATGCACTAGAAAGTGAGCTCCACATCTTTCCAGTAAATATGATACTGATTGAAACTACCTAAATGTTAGCAGATGGATAGTGATTTGTGACCTACTAGTTAGGACGGTTCTTATTCAGCTGAAGGAGAGTGAAAACATATAGTAACAGTTGCTACGAATACGACAGATTCCCAGACAAATTGTACAGATGGCACAATCTAGTGTTAAACTACGGAAAGTTACCTCAAACTATGCACAATTCCATTCAGGTTCACCTAATTTTTAAAAGACTGATTACATTGGTAGTAAAATTATTGAACCTTGGTAATGAATTTCACATCCATGTAGAAACAAGCATTTATGAAAATACGTCGATAGCTGTACTTTGATTTTTTTTAGAGACAATTCAAATTTAACCAACAGTGATAGTCTAAATAAAAATAATATAGATTAATATTATGATATATTGAAAAATACCATAGCTAGAATAACTACTTACCATACTTGGTGAAAGACGGACTTTTAACTTATCGTTAGCTAGTTTCATTAATTCTTGACATTCAATTATTTTATCAATGGAACATCCAGTATTCAGAGTATCGGTCAGGCGTTGACGAATACTAGGTAGTTCAGCAATCATTTCATGAAGGGAATCATTAAAGTAGTTGATTTGTGAGATTGCCTCCGATCCCGGAATAAAACTTCTAGCAGCTTGAGAGTATGAAATGATAATTATGACTAAGATACTCATTATAAGTCAACAAATAAAAAAAACAAATAAATAGGTACTCATCTTTCGCAACAGAACAAAGGAGAATGCATAATAACAGTCGAGACCGGTTACTGTTACTTCAGAACTACTACTACTCTACATTTTCCATTTCGTATAAGAAATAGTCCAGTGATGAATAACTAGATGAACTGGTACCATATTTTATTTTAGTTTGAGACTTACTGTGACTCATTTCAACACTAAAATAACCAAGTGCATGTAGATAAATGGTGGTTGGATGGGAGGAAAAACAACAATCAAACAACTAATCGCATTAAGATTAGTAGGAGATGAATAACTCTCTTATCTACAACCATACAACTTAACATTTACAAATTACCTTTGGTAACACAGTGAAGACACTGCTGTGGCCTCGTGCCATTGATCTAGCATGGATACGCTTCAAAACACATTGGAAATAGGAGGGAGAACTGTGTTACAAACTCAGTTCTGTTACACAGTATTCCAGGTTGTACTTTGGTACTGACTGACTGATGTTACATTCTTAGCATATAAGCTAAATTTCCGTTGACGCGAAGTGGAATGACTTCGTGAATGTCATACAGTCCTTGAATATAGGTAGATACATTCCTCTAATGACTGACTAATTCCAAAGAATGAACTAACTTCAGAAAGTAGGCCCATGACTAAAATAATAACAAATGGATTACGTTATGTACAGATCAATCTTAGTGCAACAGACAGTATAAGACATCACTGCAATTCCCACCAAAGATGAGGTTTTCTGTCCTGCGCTTAGTATGATGGTGTCATCCAGAGTACTGACATATTAGATGCTAGCACGCATGGTTTACTCGCTGGTCATCAAAAGACATATACTAAGAAACGCCATTCACTAGATTTCATTGAGCATATCTAGTTACCGCCACCTGTTTACAAACACAACCACGCAAAAAACACCAAAACCAAGATTTTACTGCATAAAAGTCTCTTTGGTAAGCTTATTTACTCCGAAAAGTCAGGCCCATCACTTAATTCAGAAAATTTGCCCATTGAACTCCACGTTGACCGCTAACTTTGTTATCAAACAGCATATACATATATGTCAGGAGTTTAAATTTGCTGAGTAGCAAATAAGAAATTCATTTGAGGATCTACCATCATAGAAAGTACATAGGCTTAAATGTAGATAGAACTCGAAAATTTGCACACAGCTTGTTGATTCAAGTTGCTACACCTTGCAATATAAACAGCAAAGGGACCAACCAAAGAAACAAGATATAATCCTGGAAAATATAATGGAAATCAATCGGTAACGAACAAGTAGGTGTCGAATGATAAGATCTTAAAATTTTCACTGACTTATTATCCCATCTCACATACTTCTGTTTACTTCAATACCTTTCGGTTCGAATCACTTTTTCTTTTTATGCTGTTGCAGTGTCGAAACTTGAACTGACGTACTTCTTCTATACAAGGTTATACAATGATTCGGACACCTACTTACAAGATTTTAATAGTGAATGTATCTAAAACAGTTTAATTGCTGAGAGTTAAGACATTTAGCATTTAATTTTTAATATGCTGAAGACTCCAGTCAGAGAGCACACAGTTTACCCACATAGCTCGTAGACATCACAGACAGAGAGACAAAATCAATGAAGAATCTCGCACACAAGTGAATCGGTTCAAGTTGACAACACTTCACAATAGTATACAAAGAACAAGTAGATAGGAAAGACTAATATCAAAGTAGAAAAAGGTGTATATTAGGAGAGGGAATTTAAAAATTCTAGTCTAGTCAAAACATTCAATCTATAGAAGACATCAGAGAGTGAATACATCTGCACCATTGTGACCCGATTTCCAGCTATTTCACCAGGAGTTCTCAATCATTGATTCCTATCGTCTCGAGGACCCCAGCCAAATAGTCTACATTTCCCTACACGGCTCAGACCAACAGTCAGGAACTTTATGGACTGGTGTCATGTCTCAGTCTGGTTACCCTGAATCCCCTCCCAACCTGATCCAATTTGTCACCATAGCACGTCAAGATAAGCGATGGCTCGGTATGTGCGGGACACCTACTATAACTTGATAGACAATTAGAATACTAATGAATAAAAGTCAATTCAACTTAAAGCCAACAAACCATCAGTTTCTGCCAAATTCGAAAGTGATCATCTACTGATACAAACTTCCTGCTTTGGAAACTAAAACTACATTGAACTGCTTAGTAATATATATATATCTTCTACTGAGTCTTTACAAACAGTCAGTTAAAAAAATTTGCAGTGTTATTCAAAGGATACCAAAAGATAATAAATGCTAAACAACTGAATAATAAGCGTGATAATGCGTATTTGAAATAAAAAAATATACCTACTTTTCTGAAGTTCTGAAATTGCGTTAGACACATCATGTACTTCAGACATTTTGGCGAAATCTTCCTGGAAATCGACAAGGCCATCTGTTAAGAAATGAAATAGAAACCTATGTACTTCAGCAATAAATATCTGAATGTTTATCTAGGTGTAAAAACCATCAAAATAAACGTTACTAGGTGGTTCATAAAAAAGCCTTTTAAAGCTCAGCTTCTTGAAATACAGACCAAGGGAGTTTATAAGCTGTTACTTTCCAAAGAACCAATTTTTCTAAAAGCTTTACCTTAGCACTTAAATCATCATATACACACAAGAAGACAGAAATCATAGTCGCATTCGTCTTACAGAGGTCAAACTAGCCGACAAATATTATGGTATTCATGAAACTTTTAATTTCCAGAATTGCAGTGTACGCTACATAAGTATTTTTTATTACAATCAAACATATTCATTAGTCATTGGTTTATTTCAAGATAACAGACAAGCTTTACAATATGAACCTCTGCTTCCTAAGAATATAAATAAAGATTCATAATGCTTCTGATGAATGTCGATCAGCAGTAGTCTAATTCGCCCCTTTACATTCTTCCATAAATTACAGGTAGCAAATAATAAAGTAGCAGCAGTAATTGTCGAAATGAAGCAGAATACATAGTATTTACATAAATAAATATTAAACTTGCCATCTACTATCCTCATAAAGCGTTCTTTTTGTTCAGCCAGATCTGTTGATGAAGTATTCTTTGCCATCTGAAAAACGAAAACCTTAAATAAATACAAGTTTCTGAACTACAAGCAGTTACCTAATTAATTGATGATGAGCACAATTTGCTTAAACGGCATAACAAGACAAGTATACTTGAACCAACATCATCTTTGCCACATAATATTCCTCATTCTGTGTTGATTTTGACATCAAAAGGAGACCATTTAAGTTCTTCATCATAGGTAGTTACATAAGGATAAATGATTCAGCATGGCTACATAACTCAGATTCAATTTTCGATAAATTCAACTGGAAAGTAGTGTCGGTTCGTGTATGAGTTAAACTTTTTGAACGAGGGTTTGCGACAGATACTCAAACTCAGATAGGTAAAGTGGGGCTTGAACCTGTGACCCTATCGCTGGGAGCTAAGTGCCCATATCAATGTGCCAGAGCTTCACAGCTATTCTCAACGATAACATATCTTACGGGTAAGTTGACTTTAGGATGCCATTTACTAAGAATGAATACTAACAGAATACATGACTTAGAATATACTCAACGTAATAACTTCAAAACACCAGCAACTGTAACAACTATATTTCAAGGGATTTCTTATGATGAATCGACACCAAGTTTATTTGTAATCGCAACTATGTATCTATGGGTTAATGTATATTTTGAGACGTGAACTACAGGCGAACTACAGTAACAACCAGGTTACATTCTTGCTCTCAATGAATCCCTTATGTCCTACCATGTGAGGACTTGAACAACTGATACATAACATGAATTAAAGTTTCCAGACAGAATTAGATGATCATACAGATATGGCCCTTTACAAACCAAGAATGCAACCAAACTTACTAATGGAGTTTAAAATGTATTCTATGTCATGGAAGTGATTATCTCAATTTTGAATGGCACATTTACATCAGTACTCCCAGAAATACATTCTCAGAATCTTAAGTAACGAATACCAGAATCTTGAATGACCCACTCCTATTTTTCAATTTAACACTTCATTACAACTTATTGAACAATAAATTTAGTCTACTGATTAATAAATGGTCTCGTTGGCAATTCCGTGAACGATTTTTACGCAACATCTAAACAAAGCCAGATAGTCCAAAATCAATGAATGTCAACGACAATGGAAAAAAGAACTTGAACGAACCTGAACCATATCTTTCAGGGCTTCTTCAAATTCTACAAGACTCAGGTTAATCTGACTGACAGCCCCAATTCGTGGATCTTTATTCACCAGAGCTTCATGAAACAGATAGTGGTTAATGAAAACCAAAACTACGGCAGCCCTTGAGAAAAAGTTAATAGAGTAAATTTCGACGGTAATTACTTGCAAACCACGAAAATAAGGAGAAAAAGAGCGGTGAATGATGCGAAAGACGTTAAATATATACAAGTAAAATTGAGGTAACGTTTACATTGAATTTCTTGAGACCAGTTGCATAGACTCAACAATCTCGAGTGCTTTCGACCCCCTAATTGCAACTAACTGTCTCCGACAGTATCTTCATTTTAGTCTACATAACCATATCAGTCTGTAGTTACTTCTTATTTTCACACCTTACTATAAACCTGCTCAACTTCACATCTGACTGTGCCTCAGTTTAGCACTTCAATTTAAACACATGACAAACTAACACTCAAATTTACCTGAATTCTGCTGAAATCTGAAGATATTAGGTTTTTTATTTTTGGACCCAAAATAATCACAATTTAGAGACAAACAATTATTGCAAATATGGTACTTGCTTGTTTCAAGTCCGTTGTACGCGCGGAACGTTTTTAAAATCAACACTGAAACCATTTACATAAACTAACTGCAATATTTGCCAGCACCTACTGAATCTCTAGTATTAGGACTCTAGTAACTAATGGAGCTTTTACGTGACGTAATAATATAGAAATATGTTGCTGCTGCATTACTTACTATCCACAAAATTAAACTTACAATTGAAATGTTACAATCAAAACCAAGCAGATTGTGTAAATAACCCGTTTACAAGGATCGTTCTTGGCATCTACAAATTGCACACGTCCCCCACATTTGCCACAACATCGAGCACAGCAGAAAACCAGTCCAATAAGGGGCATTAAAATCGCAAACAAAAGACCAACTGCAAGGCATATGCCATATCCCAAATAAGTCGTAACCACCTGGTAAAAAGAATACACGGTTATTCGCATAAAATTGAAACAAACAGATTAAGATCTTTGCAAATGCGTTTTCCCAAAACTGCAACGAAGGGTAGGCAGTAAGAGTATCATGTCACACAACTAAGCGACCCGAATCATGCATCTAAGCTGCTTAGTCATACAGATTCCAAATGTTAAGTCGAGAACTCTTTGAAGAGTATAGATTAGTCTGCAAACTAGCAACACCTATGATGAATAGAGCTGTGATGAAGCTTCATGTTTACAAAGAAAATACACTTCCGCTTCAAGAACTGTAGTAAGCCTGGACTGGAAAATACATTTCGCAGTAGCATACACCCGATGCAAAAGTGAAATCTCCGGGCCCAATACAAAAATATTGCTAAATCACTACTGGCAACAGCCTTTTAGTCCCAGAAAGGCAGACAAAATCAGGGTAGGATCTGGCATTCCTGAGCAACAGCTGCTACACTCCAGTTCACATCAAGCGAGAGTACTCTAAGGCGAAAGATCGATAAATACAGAAAGCAGTGAGTGGCTTGAAGTTATCAAAAGAGAGTAAGGAAGAATGACAGAACACCGAAATCCATTTTGACGACTAACACGAAGATAATGTGTGGATACATCTGCCGCGTGACACCTAGAGTCTCTAAATACCAATTTCCGTTGTCACGCGGACCCCACACAGCTCAGATCAACGGTTAAAGACTGCATGCAATGATGCCGTTTGGGTCTAGTCGCCTGTAACCCTTTCTAGCCCACATTGTGCGACTTCGCAGACGACGCTTAGGCATGTGTAACACATATCCTAACCACCTGAGCCTATGAAGGTTCACAACCTCATCAACTGACAACTGTCTTCTCCCTAAAACTACACCTGACTTATACAATACTGACGCGGTGACACTACGAGGCGGCATACTCCATGAAGAAAACGTCAGTTAAGTACCTCATACCACCTATCTTTATTGGCCATGTTTCACAGCCATATAGTAAAACAGAGCGAACTGCAGCACAGTATCCTCGACTCTTAATCGACAGTCAGATATCACGGTGGTGCCAAAAATGGTGAAAGCCAAACAAGACTTTTGTATCCCCGCCGAGATTTCGTCAACCACTAACTAGCCACGGCTGACCCGACTTCCCAGGTAAGTGAAGTGTTCAACGCGCTCAACTAACTCAGTTCCTATTGTTGGCCGAGGCACCGCTGAAGACCAGTCCAGGAGCAAACATGTGCATATGGGTGTCGAGAAACCCATCCCAAACATTCTCAAATCGTCAGTCTATGTGCCCAGAAGGTTCTGCATCTTGTCAGCATTTTCATCCAATAGAACTACGTAGTCTGCGCACTCGAGGTCTACCAAGAATTCTACTGCGATAAATCCCCGTGAAGTCATATCACGACAAGAAGACCTTCATAAGTACGTCTATTATAAAAATTGACAGGAATGGAGAAAGTGGAAGTCCTTGACAGACGCCACTCGATGTACACAACTCACCATGAGCTCTAACACGACCATGGATGCTGCAATAAAGAGCCTTCAACAGATTGATGTGCCTACTCGGTACACCTTTCAGTGAAACACTCACAAGACCTCTCGGTCGATTCAGTCCACGTTGCTTTCAAGTCGAGAAATGTAACTATCAAATGCTGGCAAGCTTGCTTGTGTTCTAAAACCTGGCAAAGTAGATATTTGGTGGATACACTCATAAAACCTGTGTTTTTCTTGAGTTTGTTGTTTCTAAGCTCCACTTAGTCTTCCGACAATCATAAACCTAGAATCTTAGACACTACGCTCCCCAGGCTGATTCCCTTGTGGTTATCACAGGAGGAATTCCCACTTTTCTTCGAGACAATTAGTGATCGAGAAAGTCTTCGACCACTTAGTGTAACGCCACAATTGGATAGTTTTAGTCGCTTGTCTTAGTTTACAGATATTTAAATATCCAACGAAAACTGACCTATATATATACGTATATATATATTATATATATATATATATATATATATATATATATATATATATATATATATATATTTATATGGTACAATCTCAGTATTTTTTTGAAAATGTTTTTCATATAATGATTAAGCATCGACGGACGTGAATCCTAGCCATATGCATAGTCCCCCAAGGTCTTTTGAGCAACCCGAGACTATGTTTCATTCTCAAACCACGTAACGGAGGGATTTACGAAATATTAGCCAAATGCATGTCAGATATGATTTGGAGCCGAGGCAGGACGTTGATCATAGGAACTAAACCTATTAGCAGGGCACCAAATCACGTAACAGAAAAACCTCACTGTCATGCCACATGTGGCCACGATGTAAGTGCATTCCTCTAGGTCACAGAAAATATGGATTTAACAGAAATAAGTCAAACCAACACTTAAAATAGTAAATTTTTCTGTAAGGGGAAAAGTTAACGCTAACAGATTGTACAAGGAGACTCTGATAGTACTTTAAACGGAGAATTAACGTTTACTTTGCCAAATTTGTGTGAAGATACAGTAAGCACTACGTACAAAGAGGCAAAATCATTCAACAATATACACTTACTTCCTATACTCCCAATATTCTCTTTCTTCCAACTCACTAATTACTTGTAAGTTTCGCTCTAAAACGTGACTACCTAAAAACCAATACGTGAACTACTATATGATCCAAAACCCTACATATCTGCTTTGAAGGTAATCCCAGCAGTCAAATTACTTCTTTGTGACAAACGCTCAATGTTCCCACTTTTGTCTTGAAAAGCACGTTGCGAAATATTGGGATGTATTCCCATTACTTTCACTTACAGGCAGCTCTTAGTTATCTTTTCAAGCATAGACAGGTAATCTTAGAAATCAGCTGACCTACTTTCAAACTGAACGTGCAGCCTGAGTATTGAGACCTGTTCTTCTGACCTATAAATCCTAGGAGAGCCCCAGCGCTCATCAGTAAATAATTTTAAAACCATCGAACGTCAACTACAGTTGAGGTAAGCAGGAGACAAAAGTGATAAATGTTATGGTTCATGTCGAAGTTCATGAGCTTTCTGCAAGCAATCGACTCGACTCAATCAATCATATTTCGAGACCTACTATTATTCAAGAGAAACAACAGTACATTACACAAGACAAGAATTACAAAATTAACTTACAGGCTCCACATTCCTATATGTGAGCCTCGAACGTTGAGATGCTATAAAGTCGAAAACTGTAAGCCAGAAACTGAAGACATACTTTGAATATTCACCAAAGTTTCAAAGACTGCTGTTGGTGGTTTCTGACCGCGAATAAGATCCAAAAACATATTTGATACCGAGTAAGAAAACCTAACACTGTCACGTAACTGAAGAGTAGTCCTAGTAGATGACTCATCTTCTGATTCTGAATCACACTTAATTGCACCCAGAATAACATAGGCTAAAAGTAAGGCCTTTAAGATGACCATGTTAATCGTTCTTTCTCAACCTGATTCAGCCCTCGTACATAACCGAAAACTGAAACGAACTAAGTTAAATTGAACTGACGGCACGAAATCCAATATCCAATATCCAATATCCAATATTGATAGTGCGAGCGTAGAAAACTAGTAGTTTTTGATCTCTCGCGTCCAGTTCTTAGGGCTTGGTTCCAGTTGTTCGGTTCACTCCTGCAGTGGACGAGGAAATACCCTCTGCTTTCTTGCTTTTAGCTTCGGTCAGGTGGATGTTTTGTGGGTTAGTAGGTTGTAATTTGTAGAGTGATTAGGGAGCTACGGGCTGCTGGGAAGTTTAGAGAACAACCGTGACTCCTGTCTGTGTAGGTACCTGAAAGAGAATATTAAGGTAGTGGTAAAGGAATGAAGAGAGAAGTAAGGAAGAGTAAAAAAATAAAAAATAAATAAAAAAAAATAAATAAATAAATAAATAAATCCGAAGTCCAATTCCATCAATTTCCAATATCGGTTGACGAAGAAATACAAATCATCTGATTTCCTTGCCTCTACTTTTATATCATGAGGAATGGCCTCTAGTCTTTGAACAAATTTGATGCAGTTGCTTATACAATTTTTCAACGTACTTATAATAAACCAAAGAAGATTTTTGGGTTTGTTTATTTCGATAACTATGGCTTTACCTTTGGGAGTGAAACGAATGTAATTTTTGCATGTTGGATGGCTTACAGTCTTTCAGATGATCTGGAAATGATGGAAATATTAATAAGATCATCAAAAAGCAATAGAGGACAGAAAGGTAAGCAGAAAGTAAGGAGAATTAAAATAAAGTTCAAGAAAACTCTGTAGCGTCACCCACTTCTGCAGAATCAACACTCCGGGGTTCGACGAGATTCAATATTGATGCCGACCTTCGTAGTTCAACTAGAATCACTACGCCGTAGCCACCCGGTCAAGGATCCTTGTCATTCGTCACTCTGTCGTGTTACGTCACACCGCTCGTAATCGACCCTCTAGCCAGTTAGTTGCAACTCATCGGTATCTTGTCATGACCTCGGAAATATACTATTTCATCCGGATAAGCCACTGCATTCTTTCTTGGCCTCGCATTCGTGGGTCCGAATAGTTAGTGATTGGCCCCTGCATCCGTCAATTTCGCACCAGGACAATTCCTAAAACTCCATGAGTGAGGTCACATAGTATGTAAGAATAGAGGTGGAAAGGAGTAGGGTATATGAAATTCATTGCAGTGGAAATGATGGTGATAAATTTTTTGACTGTGAGAGGCAAACTGGAGGGAAGGCAACCTAAATCGAAAGGGGAAAACTGAGTTCTCACAGAAAAGCAGAAAATTGAGTGACGTAGATAATAACGCTATCAGTGATGAAGAATCTGTATGGAAGCGAAGCAAAGTGAGAGACCAGTGTGACACCAGTTGATAACTGTAGCCTATTCCGCATCCCAACTGGATGAGTACAACCAATGTGCTACAGATGAATTGGTGGATACCTCAGATTACAGCAGATTCTGTTTTTTGCGGACCTGAAGGCAGAATCGACCACATGCAGGTACTAACGCTTGGATGGCCACTGTTGTTCATGCCCCTACATTGATCACCACGGGAGTGCCACGTAATATTTCTTTGTTCCAGTGACTTGGGTTACTTGGGACCTGTTAGCCTTTTGTCTATCTTCATACGGTTTTCGCTGCATTCCCGCAACACCGCTCTGGGCATACCAGCAGCCGTTCGCATCACTCTTCAGGTGTGGTAACTAGCGCACATGCTGTGTCCTGAAGTGAGGTCAAATGTCATACTTTGGAGCCCTAGAAAGGTTTACAGTGGCGACGCCTATATACCTAGGTACAAATGTGACACCGTAAACACCTTTCAGACATCTTATGAACCCTGAATCTATTTAGGGTCTTACTGAAGAACATATGCAGATCATTCTCAGTAGTATCCAAAAAGTACTCACAGTCACGGCAGCACGATGTGTTTCGAAAATCAAGAGCGCAGACAGATGCTGTTCTACGTTGTCAGAACAAATGCTTGGCCATTATTCTCCCTTCAATCCTTAAGCGTCGTGAGGTCATATGGTGGCTATCTGGATCCGTTTCACATCTCACGGCTCTTGACCGACCAGTGATGTTTGAACTCGATTTTGCGTAGTTAAAACTTATTGGGAACAGCAGAAAACTCGAGTCTGCCGCTTTTGAATGATTGAAGGGCAACTTCCTTCAAGTTCAGCTTGTCTTCTTGGCTTTGATGCTCAACTAGCTACCTTCTAACCGGTCTCTGCGCTAGGATTGCCACCCTTCACTAAAGTCAACAGATAAAAGTGGTATAGGATAATGTTGAAACCAGCAACCAGATAGAAACATATTGCATGGGAATGAGCCCAAATCCTCAGTGCCCTAAAGGGTTGTAATGCGCCACCAGAATGATACAGGTTTAAGACCCAATAATTTCTGCAGCCACCCGCTAACCGGTCCGAGAGTCCACCAACGTGGCCAGCCAATTAGCTTTTACACAGTTTTTGTATCACTGATAAAACGACCGTAGGTCATTTTTACTTGAGATTCTGTTGGTCCCCTCGTCTGAAGATTGTGGGTAACCGTACCACATTTGAAGGACTCTGAGTAGGCGGCTGGAAGAAATAAGATTAGTTAAGGGAATTTCTAGTGAAACAAATAGTTCATTGACGGACGAAACTGTGACGGGACTGCTCACAAGTTTTTTCCAGGTTTGCGGGCTGCAGAATGCTACAAAAAGCATTTTACTCACAGCTAGCACAAGATTCAGGTCGATGAGAGTAGAAGCTATATCAAAAAGCCCGCAGCTTCCTGCAATCGAGTCCAGGCATAAGACTGGCGTCGTACCGTACACAGGAGGCCTCACATTTTCTATAGAACTAAGTTAGGTGTACATTGCCTGGTAATGAAGTCAGACAAAGTTTACCCACAGAGTATACCCATTTAGGATTTGTCCTGGTGCGAACTTGACAGACGCAAAGACCAATCACTATTTATTCGGACCTGTTATGTACACACGAATACGAGACCAAGGAAGAACATGATAGTGTAGTCGGACGGAATAGTATATTTGGATGGTTGTGCCAAAATACCGATACGTTTCAACTAACTGGCTGGAGGGTCGATTGCGGGCAGTGCAACGTAACACGACAGCATGCCAAATGGCGAGGCTGCTTGACCGGGTGCCTTCAGCTTGGCGAGTCCAATTAAACTATCAAGGTCAGCATCCATGTTGAGTGTCGCCGAACCCTAGGCTATAGATTTGGGGGAAGTGTGTAACGCTACAGACCACTCCCCCCTAGTGGGTTAGTGATGACCCTGCGACGATACCAGCCGGAGGTAAAACCTCAGTGGTTTCTTCACTGGTAAAACTCTTCCGATGGGCTCACTGCGTGAAGTGGCCCCTGGTTGCCTGAACTTACTCTAGGGAGTAGTGGCAAGTGAAAAATAAAATACAATAAACCGAATTGTACGTCGACCACGGTCCTCAGTCTCCCTTGACGTTCCGTCCAGTGCTCGTCGCACCTAGAATACGAATAAAAGTCCTTAATACCAAGAAAACGTTTCGTGAGAACGGAATTATTTATACATAAATATATCGGAATAAAGTTTGCGCCTTCTTTGAAAAATATTTTATTGCGTGGTGGTAGTAAAAAATTGACATAAAAAGGCAAAATGTACAAGGATTTTCGCATTGCCAGTAAATAGGAAAAATAGCGCCCCTAAAAAAATGCTGAATTGAAAAAAATATGGTCGGCACATCTTATTACACACCACCAAGTTGAATACGACTTTGAATACTCCAAGAACCTGACGGTTCAACCTGATCGTGTTTTCTGTTGCGCCGACGGTTGTCGTAACTGTGCATTAGCAGACACATCGCCAAGAATTTCGATAACCGAGCTACCCTTTTTGTTAACCACTATGCAATCGTGATGCCCAAGGACTGTTTGACGGTTTGACAATGCCCAGTTCGAGAACGTGGTCGAATTCGCCCTTCGCCATTTTGAGCTTATCGTGGGCTTGAAGGCGCGCTTTGAATGCCACAGGTGGACCAGTGGTTGTCACGTGATGCATAACATTGCTGGTTGCGCACGGAAGAGTATGCTTCGGTTGTTGTAGCTCTGGATATTTCTCCAAAACTGCTTAGCAGGACGCGTCGCCTGGTTGTTTGGTTCTAACGATGGCTAAACTTGGACTTATGTAGGTGGTGCCGCCAATAGATAACCGTGTTGTTATCTATCTGGCGTCGACGGTGAGCATCTACGAATAGATCATAATGGTTTAGCAAATCCATGCCAATGGTGGGCATAGAAATATCAGCCAGGAGGAATATACAGTGGATAGGTTTACGTAAACCTAATTTAAGGTAGGCATCCTATCTCCCGAATGTCGCGATTGCCTTGCCGTTGGCTGCTTGGAGGTTGAAGGACGGGTCAAGATGACGCTCCTTAGTCGTTGCGGGAAGAACGCTAACTTCTGTGCCGGTGTCGACGAGGCAGCCAACTTTCGTTTTAATATCCGTGACGTAGAGCAAACGGCTGTTTCCACTGGCTACGGTTGCCGTGAACACGTGCCGGCTTGACCGTTTCACGAGTTAATGTCCTTGTTAAAACCGCACGGTTTACATTTTCTGGCTTCGTCCCCATAAGTATTATGAAACCAGCACCGTTTAGGGTTTTCCACTCCGTTGGGTTTAGTTTTGGGGCAACCACGCAAGTTGCTACGATGCACTAAGACTCGTTTCTGTGGAGTGTTACGTGAACTAGTGCTGCGAGCTCGAAGCAACTGTTCAACAGAGTTGCACAGCTTGGTCACCTCTGAACCCTGGCTCTCTGGTTTGTCGCGGACCGAATATACATTGGAGACGGGTCTGCTAGAAATCTCCAGTATTTTATCCGCCGAGGCTGCCAGGTCATCGAGTGGGACTGACTGCAGTGTCACCAACACGGTTTGCACCGATTGTGGTAGTTTTGAGAGAAATAGTTCTCGGAAGAGGCCATCGTCGAATGTTCGTGCACCCATAACCTCTCGAATGCGTGGGAGGACTTGAGCAGCTGAGTGCCTATCTAGCTCGATGTTACGAAGCAATTCGTCTAGACGTCGGCGACCTGTGAGATCGCT